ACAGACCTCACCCGCACCATCCTTGCTTTCCCATCGTTACCGAATTGCTGTTGGTTTTATTTTCCTCGGTTCTCGAACATGAGAATGTGTGAGAGCAAAGCGGAAAATGATGTCCTCGCGAGGTCCTCCTGTTCCCTGCCACGAGGCACCGTTTGTCCAGATAACCTCTGTATTCCCAGTCATCCGACGTGCTCGGAACGGCAGGGCTCTCTCTTCCTCTTCCCTCAGAGTTGTCAGAACAGAGAATGAAATTATTTGCTCTCCCAGCCAACCCCATTTCTAACGCCCTCAGGACATTAAACTCCTGGAAGGTGTTTTCAGTACGGAGGAGACGCTTCCCGATGCACAGTAGAATCAGATCCGTTTATTTTTATTCCTGCCAGAACTGGTCATTTCAGTGGGACAGACGCGAAGTTCTTTTCTGTGGGAATGACACACCTAGAAACTACTCGTGTTGCACTTGCCTGTGCTAACCCAGAGTAATTCCTTCTCCCCTTACTGTGCTCATGAGCTTTTCGTCTCCCACCTGAACACGTGTTGTATTTCTCTGTTAGTAATAGTTATCAAGGCTTGTATATAACACTACATCGAGTATTAATTTCAGAGTCTGCTTCTTAATGCAAGGCAGCAGTCTCTGTCCTAGTTGGGGAAGAGTGTCTAGTCTCCTCCTGTGTATCTTAAGACATCTGAAGATGGGAAAGAAAAGTCTGGAGTGAAAGTAATTTAAAACCCAAACAGACAGTAAAACAAAAAAACCCCACCCAAATCAACAACAACAACAACAACAAATTCCCAAAGCCATGCCGTCACCCCCCAAAAAAACCCAAACCAAAACCAACAACAACGATGAAGAAAACCTCACAGCCCCCCCCTAAATTTTATATGATCTTAGGTTTGTGTAGCTTTATGGTAGTTCTGGTATAAATCTGTTCTAATAATAGAAATAGAGAAAACAGCAGATGGTTTTAGGATACAAGAAAATCTCTGTTGCAGAAAGAGCTATCCTAACCATCAAAGTGCAAACTGTTTTAACAGGCAGTTAAGCAAGGGGAATATCAAGGAAGCAAGTTTGCTTCCAAAGTATTAGACCAAGTTTTCCAGACAAGTTATTAACTTGAAGAGGACAGCTTTTTTCTCTCACCCGTTCTACTTTTATTTGTCCCCTTTACAATATTTGACTCATGATCCTGAACGTATAAATAGGCAAGGAAAACTTGGGGTATACATTACTGCAAATTCGTAGCAGCTGTATATATAATTAGTGTCGATTTTACCGTGAATGCCTGCATGGTTCTCCCACTATACTGTGTTTCATGTGTATCTGCATTTGCACTGCATCTCTGTAGATCTGGGTATGTATCTGTCTCCATGTATGCATTATTCGATTAATATATTGATGAATTTGATGAATATCGTTTATATCTACAAGAAAATAATTTCCCTAGGTTTCTCAGGCTGGCGGTGTGAATATTTGAATGCAGGCAATTTGAAATAGGAGGTGTGGGGGAAAACAACCAACCAACAAAAACACAGCACCCAAATCCCACAAGCATAAAAGAAGTATGAGGATGTGATTTCTTTCTTAAAGCCTCGAATATCCTCATGTGAAGCTTAGGTGTGGTGCAAAAATTACTTTGGGCTAAGAGCAGTGAGTTGTATACTCTGAACGCAAACGTAATATTTTTGTACGTGAAAATATAGATATTTGGGACTAATGAATGCATGCAATATTCCTACAATTCAATGATCACATGAGGATATTTACAATGTATCTTCCTAAATCTTTGTTTATGTAGCGATTGATGGTTTGTGCCCGTTTCAAACAAACAAAAACCCCTGCTCGCGGCAATTCCCGTGGAGAGATGGAGTCAGTCTCCAGCTTTCTGCCTGGCACCCGGGCTGGGACTCCGCCTGGCACCGGCTACGAGAAACGCGCTCAAAAAGGCAGAGGGGGGAAAAAAAGTAACAAAACCCAAACCAAATCAAACCAAACCAAACCAAAACCAAAACCAAAACAAAAAATCCCCAACCAACCAAAAAAAAAAACCAATTTAAACCCAGTTTTAACCAACGGAGTATAATCCCCCTTGTGTTAATAGCAGCGTTTGCTTTAAATCACCAAAATCTCACTTTAAGTGTCGGACTCTGTGAGTCCAGCAGCCTGGTGAGATGTACTGCTGTGACCTGTGCTCTACGAGGGGACTGTCCCTGTGCAAGGCTGAGAATCGGGATCTGCAGTCTCTTCTGAT